CAGGCATGCCCAAAAACAAAAACAAAGAACTTCCCGTCGCCCAAATTTACGCTCCCATTGAGGAAAATATCTGTCTTACGACAAACCCTTGATCAGCTCATTCGCACACATTTGTGCGTGTGTGTGTTTATCTGTGTGTATCGAGCTCGCAATTAAAAAATTTTTCAAATTTGCATCGTGCGCGCAGGCAACCAACACGCACACAAACGCATTAATGCTTCTATCCATATAGAAAACACATGCCAGCGATCAGATACCCCTACCCTTACATCAAGCATGGAACCAAGTCGAAAAAATTGAACATTGTCAATTTTTGGTCTTTTCCGAAAATTCTTCAACAACGATGAATTACCCCGGCAGAAATACGACTTAGATATTTTTATTTTTTTAAGTAAAATAGGTCCCCACAGCAAATAAAAAATAAATATAAATCGTTTATTTAGGTATTAAATAAAATGAGATTAAATTCTTCTCATTATGCCTGAATGGACAAAGAAATAAATGATAGAGCATTTAAATGTGAGTGCCTATTGCTACCACATGCACGAAAGGCACACAATTGAAGAAATAACCTCTGGCCCGCAACAAACGCCGCGATCTACTTGTGCGCACATCCACACAACACAAACATGAATGTTTGTAAATCTCGGGGTTTTGTGGGAAGCTATGCAGGGAGAAAGAGATGCACACAAGTGCGCAAAGCAATGAGTGAGAGCGAGGCACATGCGTACACAGATATGTTTTTGGGCTGAAAGGATTTGAAACTAGCATACATATGTTTAAAAACAAGTAAGAGGTTCTAGTCGGGAGCTCCCGACTAGGGAATACTATGAACCCTCTTATTCCAACTCCAAAATGCAGTTCGTGCAACGCGCTCTTTTGAAGTAATAAAGATAAATTAAAAAAATAATAAAGATAAAAAAACGAACTCGCAACTAACCGTATTACTTGCTGACGACTCTACTCAATAGACAAACCATCAAAAAATAAAATAAAAATAGTTTCCCAGGTAGGGCTCGAATTCGCGACAGACCGCAATACTTGCTATGCCTCTTCTTAACAGCCACACCAATAATTAAGTATTACCGAGAAAAAAACCAACTAAAATGCTGTTAGGTTGCGCTAGAATGCGAAGCAGACGCGCACGAATGTGTGTGTGTACATGAATACAAAAATTCTCAAAGCTGCTGCCCCATTCAATTGCGCAGTTGCATACATATATCTTTGGTTTTTCTTAACCGATCTTTATGAAATTTTCTACAGTATATCTTATTGTACCATAGAATATTTGTGTATTTTGAAAAAGTCAATTGCATTTAAATTGTGGTTTGAATTGGTGGGCACTAAAAGTTGGGTTATTAACTTGAATTATAGCTCTGCGGTGGTAGCGGGGAGGTGGCGATAGGTATGAAATGAAAGATAATTGAAATATCTATAATATTCTAGAAGCAACATATCATGTTTGGTGACTCTAGCTCTTATTATTTACCAAAATTGCTAAAAAAAACAGGATGTCGACATCGATTTTTATCGATTGCTTGGAAAACGGAGTAAGTTATCGATTATCGGAAACAAACTCGATCTGCGCGGGAGCTAGGAGCATCTACAAAATGTATATAACAGGCAGAAGGAACCATCGCAGACCCCATAAAGTATATATATTCTTGATCAGCACCAAAAGCCGAGTCGTTTTAGCCATGTCCGTCTGTCCGACCGTCCGTCCGTCCGTCCGTATGTATAAACGCAAGGATCTCAGAACCTATAAGAGCTGAAGATTTTAAATTTTAGATATAAGTCCTCTAAGTGCCTGCGCAGATCAAGTTTGTTTCCGATAATCGATAATCAATCGATAAAAACCGATGTCGACATCTTGTTTTTTTTTAGCAATCTTGGTAAATATTAAGAGCTAGAGTCACCAAACTTGACATATAGCTTCTAAAATAGAATATATACATATATTCATTTGATGTTGTAAGAGGAGGGTTCAGGGTATCCCCTAGTCGGGAGCTCCCGACTAGAACCTCTTACTTGTTTTACTTATTTCCTTTAGTACTGTAGGCCTGAAAACGTTTTGTCAAAACAGTTTCTTGACACCATTAAAAATTGATACTTTTTAATTTTTATTTTTAAAAATTGTTTGGAGCCATGGATCTCAATACCTATTTATTTTAACTAGTTCTAAGAAAAATAATAAATCGATATAAAATATAAAAGACATTAAAATATTAAAAGAGTGTTGTTTTAAATGCATATTAATCCGGAAAACATGAATTGTTCCCATTACTAAAACAATTTCTTGAAATACTGAATGTATGAGGCGATGGCGAGGTTGAATCGAGTTGTGTGTCCGCCTCCGGTACATAAAAAATTATTTTAATGCTAACGCAATGGTTCAGGATACTCCCGATTTAAATTTTTCTAATTCTAATTTTAAATCGAATTCTAATTTTTTATGTTTCATCTCCATATAGTCACGGACAAAAGTATTGTCAATTTAATATCATCTAGTTTTATTGTCGATTTTGTCCAATATACCGTTCAATATTTAATAATTTTATATTTTTTATGCGATTATTAGCTATTTGCGCAAGCAATCCAATTATTCTTATAATCATTGGCGGCATGGTTAATTTTTAATATTTATTTAATTCCAAGTACCCGTAATTTTATAGGGACAAAAGCATTGAACATTTTCAATATAACGTTATTATTTTAATATTAGTTTTGGTATGGTCACACTTTTCTATGCTAAAATGCAAATCTGTAAGCACCGTTATTTGAATCTAAAAAAATTATTAGAAAAAATTGTTTAAAGATAAATTTATATATTTTTTTGCAAAAAAGGCCGGTAAGAAGTGTGAAACCACCGTAGAGCAGCGAAAAATTATAATAAATTTACGCAAACACGGCAGATCCTATTAAGAACTTGGCGAGCTATAGGACAGAAGTCAATTATCTATTTGGAGCATAATCCGTAGATTTTCGGACGACCTTACGGTAGAAAATGCTGAATCATCATCATTGCGCCAAAATAATACGTAAGATCAAGAAAGACGCAAAAATCGTATCATCTCAAACAGTATCCGAGGTTAAAGAAGAGATTGGGGAAGGAATTCGCACCAAAACTTTACAGATGGTACTACACAAGGCTTGGTTAAAATGCGAGAATTGCAAGACGCAAACCACTCATTTTATTGTGTGCCGTATTGGGTTTTCTCCATACCTCAATTCGGTTTTGTGAGAGAAAAATATTATGATTGCTTTCGTCGGAGAATAGGACATCGTATATACAACTATATATAAAACTATTTGTCCTGACGGACTGACTGACTGATTAGTGATCAACGTACATCCCAAGCCTTAAGATCTAGGACGCTGAAAATTTTACTGTAGTTACCGTATGTGATGGAGATGCATTCTAAGAAGTCTATATAAATCCTTTTTGCTTAGCATCCGATCGATCTCAAACTCTTCAAACTCATTTTCAGACTCCTCTCTTCGAATTTCGTTAATGAGCTTTTCGTGATATCGGTCCCAACTCATGATTATTTACTCGATGAATTTTAAATATGTCTCCAAATAGAAGTGGATTTCAAGTAATATATAAAACTTATAGCACACAACTTGTCTCGGGCAAGGGTGGGTAATACCCTCTAGTTTATATATATTTGGACGTGGAATTCGACTTACGTATGTAAAATGGTTGGTAAAATTTGAAGCAACGAACTTGGACCGGGTTTCAGCCGGGAAAAACAAGCTAGTTATATTTAGATAATTTCTTCTATGACAATCTTTCTTTATATTGGTTTTGAAACTACTGTTTCATGCTACAACAATTGTTTTTGGGCCATGGGATAATTAAAAACGCAATAATACATTTAAGTCCACAAAGACGGGCAATACCTATCGTCAAAATTCAGAACGTTTAAGAAAAATTAGTAAGGTTCGTGCTAGCAGTAGCAAATTTATACAAATTCACATAGCTACGTGTGCTGCTAGCTCCACTGCAGTCAACAGAACAACGTAAGTTCGTCACTGACTTGCGCCTCTGATAAGTTACTTACGCAAGCCTGGCAAGGGGCTTATAGACCAAGCGCGTGCCTTAACATAGCATTTGCATCCGTATTACCCCTTTTAAACAGAGAATATAATTTTAGACAGAAAACAGAAAATTTTTGCAATACTTTTAAAAAGAGACAAAATATAGATGACTTAAATAGAAAACATTGCGATTGGTGTATGTTAGTATTCAGGGCGTCATCAAGCGGTTCGCAGGCCATTGGACAAACAGGATATACTTACAGCTAAGCCAGGATATCGTTTTTGATACAATGAGACTGTTTATACTTTGTTTGCTTGTCGCTACAGGCGCAACATTTACACTGTTTGGTCCGCACATTCGCATTTTACCTAGTCAAAAGCGCAATGAAATAATACTGCAGTTTCGTAATCCTTGCAACAAGACGAGCCATACTACTCTTAGACCACCACCAACACAGTGCAAGCATTATCCAACAAAACAAAACTGTGAACATACTTCTTCACATCAACCAAAAACTACAACTTCACATAACTGGCAGCAAGAAACAACACTGACAATTACATCGACCCAAAAACCTGTGTATCGCACAACCTTCGGTGAAACAGCTAAGCCAAGTACTCAGAAGTCGACAACGTTGAAATCAACTGAGCCAAGTAGAACAACAAATAGGCCAAGCACGCACAAGTCAACAACGTTCAAGCCAACTGAACTAAGTACTTCGTCAATTAAGCCAGGTTCTCAAAAGCCAACAACGATAAATCCAAATGATTCAAGTTCTACAAAAGTTAAGCCAAGTACTCCGAAGTCAACCACGTTAAGGCCAACTCAAACAAACGATACAACAAATATGCCAAGCACCAAACAGCCGACAACATCAAAGCAAAGTATGCCCACTAAAACAACAAATAAGTCAAGTACCCAAAAGTCGACAACGCTGAACCCAACTGAAGCAAGTACAATGACAATTCCGCCAAGTACTCCGAAGCCAACTCAAACAAATAAAACAACAAATAAGCCAAGCACCCAAAAGCCGACAACGTTTAAGCCAACTGTAGCTACAATTGCAACAAATAAACCAAGTTCTCAAAAGCCAACAACGCTGAAGCCAAGTGAGCCAAGTAAAACAACAAAAACGCCAAGCACCCAAAAGCCTTCAACGAAACAGCCAACTGATTCAAGTTCTACAACAATAAAGTCAAGTACTCCAAAGTTAACCACCTTGAAGCCGACTCAAAGAAGTACTCAAAAGCCAACAACGCTGAAGCCAAGTGAGCCAAGTAAAACAACAAAAAAGCCAAGCACCCAAAAGCCTTCAACGAAACAGCCAACTGATTCAAGTTCTACAACAATAAAGTTAAGTACTCCAAAGTTAACCACCTTGAAGACGACTCAAAGAAGTACTCAAAAGCCAACAACGCTGAAGCCAAGTGAGCCAAGTAAAACAACAAAAACGCCTAGCACCCAAAAGCCTTCAACGAAACAGCCAACTGATTCAAGTTCTACAACAATTAAGTCAAGTACTCCGAAGTCAACCACACTGAAGACGACCCAAAGAAGTTCTCAAAAGCCATCAACGCTGAAGCCAAGTCAGCCAAGTAAAACAACAAAAACGCCAAGCACCCAAAGGCCTTCAACGAAGCAGCCAACTGATTCAAGTTCTACAACAATTAAGTCAAGTACTCCGAACTCAACTAAGTTGCAGCCAACTCAAACAACAATTATTCTAAGCACCCAAAAATCGACTACAATTAAGTCAACTGTAGCAAGCACTACCTCAATTAAGCCAAGTACTCAAAAGGCGACAACGCTGAGCCCAACTGAAGCAAGTACAATGACAATTCAGCCAAGTACTCCGAAGCCAACTCAAACAAACAGAACAACAAATAAGCAAAGCACCCAAAAACCGACAACGTTCAAACCAACTGTAGCTACAATTACAACAAATAAACCAAGTTCTCAAAAGCCAACAACGCTGAAGCCAAGTGAGCCAAGTAAAACAACAAAAAAGCCAAGCACCCAAAAGCCTTCAACGAAACAGCCAACTGATTCAAGCTCTACAACAATTGAGTCAAGTACTCCGAACTCAACTAAGTTACAGCCAACTCAAACAACAATTATTCTAAGCACCCAAAAATCGACTACAATTAAGCCAACTGTAGCAAGCACTACCTCAATTAAGCCAAGTACTCAAAAGGCGACAACGCTGAGCCCAACTGAAGCAAGTACAATGACAATTCAGCCAAGTACTCCGAAGCCAACTCAAACAAATAAAACAACAAGTAAGCCAAGCACCCAAAAGCCGACAACGTTCAAACCAACTGTAGCTACAATTACAACAAATAAACCAAGTTCTAAAAAGCCAACAACGCTGAAGCCAAGTGAGCCAAGTAAAACAACAAAAACGCCTAGCACCCAAACGCCTTCAACGAAACAGCCAACTGATTCAAGTTCTACAACAATTAAGTCAAGTACTCCGAAGTCAACCACACTGAAGACGACCCAAAGAAGTTCTCAAAAGCCATCAACGCTGAAGCCAAGTCAGCCAAGTAAAACAACAAAAACGGCAAGCACCCAAAGGCCTTCAACGAAACAGCCAACTGATTCAAGTTCTACAACAATTAAGTCAAGTACTCCGAACTCAACTAAGTTGCAGCCAACTCAAACAACAATTATTCTAAGCACCCAAAAATCGACTACAATTAAGCCAACTGTAGCAAGCACTACCTCAATTAAGCCAAGTACTCAAAAGGCGACAACGCTGAGCCCAACTGAAGCAAGTACAATGACAATTCAGCCAAGTACTCCGAAGCCAACTCAAACAAATAGAACAACAAATAAGCCAAGCACCCAAAAGCCGACAACGTTCAAACCAACTGTAGCTACAATTACAACAAATAAACCAAGTTCTCAAAAGCCAACAACGCTGAAGCCAAGTGAGCCAAGTAAAACAACAAAAAAGCCAAGCACCCAAAAGCCTTCAACGAAACAGCCAACTGATTCAAGCTCTACAACAGTTGAGTCAAGTACTGTGAAGTCAACCACACTGAAGCCGACTCAAAGAAGTTCTCAAAAGCCAACAACGCTGAAGCCAAGTGAGCCAAGTAAAACAACGAAAACGAAAAGCACCCAAAAGCCTTCAACGAAACAGCCAACTGATTCAAGCTCTACAACAATAAAGTCAAGTACTCCAAAGTTAACCACCTTGAAGACGACCCAAAGAAGTTCTCAAAAGCCAACAACGCTGAAGCCAAGTCAGCCAAGTAAAACAACAAAAACGCCAAGCACCCAAAAGCCTTCAACGAAACAGCCAACTGATTCAAGTTCTACTACAATAAAGTCAAGTACTCCAAAGTTAACCACCTTGAAGACGACCCAAAGAAGTTCTCAAAAGCCAACAACGCTGAAGCCAAGTCAGCCAAGTAAAACAACAAAAACGCCAAGCACCCAAAAGCCTTCAACGAAACAGCCAACTGATTCAAGTTCTACTACAATAAAGTCAAGTACTCCAAAGTTAACCACACTGAAGCCGACTCAAAGAAGTTCTCAAAAGCCAACAACGCTGAAGCCAAGTGAGCCAAGTAAAACAACAAAAACGCCAAGCACCCAAAAGCCTTCAACGAAACAGCCAACTGAATCAAGCTCTACAACAATAAAGTCAAGTACTCCGAACTCAACTAAGTTGCAGCCAACTCAAACAACAATTATTCAAAGCACTCAAAAATCGACTACAATTAAGCCAACTTCAGCAAGCACTACCTCAATTAAGCCAAGTACTCAAAAGGCGACAACGCTGAGCCCAACTGAAGCAAGTACAATGACAATTCAGCCAAGTACTCCGAAGCCAACTCAAACAAATAGAACAACAAATAAGCCAAGCACCCAAAAGCCGACAACGTTCAAACCAACTGTAGCTACAATTACAACAAATAAACCAAGTTCTCAAAAGCCAACAACGTTGAAGCCAAGTGAGCCAAGTAAAACAACAAAAACGCCAAGCACCCAAAAGCCTTCAACGAAACAGCCAACTGATTCAAGTTCTATTACAATAAAGTCAAGTACTCCAAAGTTAACTACCTTGAAGACGACCCAAAGAAGTTCTCAAAAGCCAACAACGCTGAAGCCAAGTCAGCCAAGTAAAACAACAAAAACGCCAAGCACCCAAAAGCCTTCAACGAAACAGCCAACTGATTCAAGTTCTACAACAATTAAGTCAAGTACTCCGAACTCAACTAAGTTGCAGCCAACTCAAACTACAATCATTCTAAGCACCCAAAAATCGACTACAATTAAGTCAACTGTAGCAAGCACTACCTCAATTAAGCCAAGTACTCAAAAGGCGACAACGCTGAGCCCAACTGAAGCAAGTACAATGACAATTCAGCCAAGTACTCCGAAGCCAACTCAAACAAATAGAACAACAAATAAGCCAAGCACCCAAAAGCCGACAACGTTCAAACCAACTGTAGCTACAATTACATCAAATAAACCAAGTTCTCAAAAGCCAACAACGCTGAAGCCAAGTGAGCCAAGTAAAACAACAAAAACGCCTAGCACCCAAACGCCTTCAACGAAACAGCCAACTGATTCAAGTTCTACAACAATTAAGTCAAGTACTCCGAAGTCAACCACCTTGAAGACGACCCAAAGAAGTTCTCAAAAGCCAACAACGCTGAAAACAACAAGTAAAACAACAATAACGCCAAGCACCCAAAAGCCTTCAACGAAACAGCCAACTGATTCAAGTTCTACAACAATTAAGTCAAGTACTCCGAACTCAACTAAGTTGCAGCCAACTCAAACAACAATTATTCTAAGCACCCAAAAATCGACTACAATTAAGCCAACTGTAGCAAGCACTACCTCAATTAAGCCAAGTACTCAAAAGGCGACAACGCTGAGCCCAACTGAAGCAAGTACAATGACAATTCAGCCAAGTACTCCGAAGCCAACTCAAACAAATAGAACAACAAATAAGCCAAGCACCCAAAAGCCGGCAACGTTCAAACCAACTGTAGCTACAATTACAACAAATAAACCAAGTTCTCAAAAGCCAACAACGCTGAAGCCAAGTGAGCCAAGTAAAACAACAAAAACGCCAAGCACCCAAAAGCCTTCAACGAAACAGCCAACTGATTCAAGTTCTACAACAATTAAGTCAAGTACTCCGAACTCAACTAAGTTGCAGCCAACTCAAACTACAATCATTCTAAGCACCCAAAAATCGACTACAATTAAGCCAACTGTAGCAAGCACTACCTCAATTAAGCCAAGTACTCAAAAGGCGACAACGCTGAGCCCAACTGAAGCAAGTACAATGACAATTCAGCCAAGTACTCCGAAGCCAACTCAAACAAATAGAACAACAAATAAGCCAAGCACCCAAAAGCCGGCAACGTTAAAACCAACTGTAGCTACAATTACAACAAATAAACCAAGTTCTCAAAAGCCAACAACGCTGAAGCCAAGTGAGCCAAGTAAAACAACAAAAAAGCCAAGCACCCAAAAGCCTTCAACGAAACAGCCAACTGATTCAAGTTCTACTACAATAAAGTCAAGTACTCCAAAGTTAACCACCTTGAAGACGACCCAAAGAAGTTCTCAAAAGCCAACAACGCTGAAAACAACAAGTAAAACAACAATAACGCCAAGCACCCAAAAGCCTTCAACGAAACAGCCAACTGATTCAAGATCTACAACAATTAAGTCAAGTACTCCGAACTCAACTAAGTTGCAGCCAACTCAAACAACAATTATTCTAAGCACCCAAAAATCGACTACAATTAAGCCAACTGTAGCAAGCACTACCTCAATTAAGCCAAGTACTCAAAAGGCGACAACGCTGAGCCCAACTGAAGCAAGTACAATGACAATTCAGCCAAGTACTCCGAAGCCAACTCAAACAAATAGAACAACAAATAAGCCAAGCACCCAAAAGCCGACAACGTTCAAACCAACTGTAGCTACAATTACAACAAATAAACCAAGTTCTCAAAAGCCAACAACGCTGAAGCCAAGTGAGCCAAGTAAAACAACAAAAAAGCCAAGCACCCAAAAGCCTTCAACGAAACAGCCAACTGATTCAAGCTCTACAACAGTTGAGTCAAGTACTGTGAAGTCAACCACACTGAAGACGACCCAAAGAAGTTCTCAAAAGCCAACAACGCTGAAGCCAAGTCAGCCAAGTAAAACAACAAAAACGCCAAGCACCCAAAAGCCTTCAACGAAACAGCCAACTGATACAAGTTCTACTACAATAAAGTCAAGTACTCCAAAGTTAACCACACTGAAGCCGACTCAAAGAAGTTCTCAAAAGCCAACAACGCTGAAGCCAAGTGAGCCAAGTAAAACAACAAAAACGCCAAGCACCCAAAAGCCTTCAACGAAACAGCCAACTGAATCAAGCTCTACAACAATAAAGTCAAGTACTCCGAACTCAACTAAGTTGCAGCCAACTCAAACAACAATTATTCAAAGCACTCAAAAATCGACTACAATTAAGCCAACTTCAGCAAGCACTACCTCAATTAAGCCAAGTACTCAAAAGGCGACAACTCTGAGCCCAACTGAAGCAAGTACAATGACAATTCAGCCAAGTACTCCGAAGCCAACTCAAACAAATAGAACAACAAATAAGCCAAGCACCCAAAAGCCGACAACGTTCAAACCAACTGTAGCTACAATTACAACAAATAAACCAAGTTCTCAAAAGCCAACAACGCTGAAGCCAAGTGAGCCAAGTAAAACAACAAAAACGCCAAGCACCCAAAAGCCTTCAACGAAACAGCCAACTGATTCAAGTTCTACAACAATTAAGTCAAGTACTCCGAACTCAACTAAGTTGCAGCCAACTCAAACTACAATCATTCTAAGCACCCAAAAATCGACTACAATTAAGCCAACTGTAGCAAGCACTACCTCAATTAAGCCAAGTACTCAAAAGGCGACAACGCTGAGCCCAACTGAAGCAAGTACAATGACAATTCAGCCAAGTACTCCGAAGCCAACTCAAACAAATAGAACAACAAATAAGCCAAGCACCCAAGAGCCGGCAACGTTCAAACCAACTGTAGCTACAATTACAACAAATAAACCAAGTTCTCAAAAGCCAACAACGCTGAAGCCAAGTGAGCCAAGTAAAACAACAAAAAAGCCAAGCACCCAAAAGCCTTCAACGAAACAGCCAACTGATTCAAGTTCTACTACAATAAAGTCAAGTACTCCAAAGTTAACCACCTTGAAGACGACCCAAAGAAGTTCTCAAAAGCCAACAACGCTGAAAACAACAAGTAAAACAACAATAACGCCAAGCACCCAAAAGCCTTCAACGAAACAGCCAACTGATTCAAGATCTACAACAATTAAGTCAAGTACTCCGAACTCAACTAAGTTGCAGCCAACTCAAACAACAATTATTCTAAGCACCCAAAAATCGACTACAATTAAGCCAACTGTAGCAAGCACTACCTCAATTAAGCCAAGTACTCAAAAGGCGACAACGCTGAGCCCAACTGAAGCAAGTACAATGACAATTCAGCCAAGTACTCCGAAGCATACTCAAACAAATAGAACAACAAATAAGCCAAGCACCCAAAAGCCGACAACGTTCAAACCAACTGTAGCTACAATTACAACAAATAAACCAAGTTCTCAAAAGCCAACAACGCTGAAGCCAAGTGAGCCAAGTAAAACAACAAAAAAGCCAAGCACCCAAAAGCCTTCAACGAAACAGCCAACTGATTCAAGCTCTACAACAGTTGAGTCAAGTACTGTGAAGTCAACCACACTGAAGACGACCCAAAGAAGTTCTCAAAAGCCAACAACGCTGAAGCCAAGTCAGCCAAGTAAAACAACAAAAACGCCAAGCACCCAAAAGCCTTCAACGAAACAGCCAACTGATTCAAGTTCTACTACAATAAAGTCAAGTACTCCAAAGTTAACCACACTGAAGCCGACTCAAAGAAGTTCTCAAAAGCCAACAACGCTGAAGCCAAGTGAGCCAAGTAAAACAACAAAAACGCCAAGCACCCAAAAGCCTTCAACGAAACAGCCAACTGAATCAAGCTCTACAACAATAAAGTCAAGTACTCCGAACTCAACTAAGTTGCAGCCAACTCAAACAACAATTATTCAAAGCACTCAAAAATCGACTACAATTAAGCCAACTTCAGCAAGCACTACCTCAATTAAGCCAAGTACTCAAAAGGCGACAACTCTGAGCCCAACTGAAGCAAGTACAATGACAATTCAGCCAAGTACTCCGAAGCCAACTCAAACAAATAGAACAACAAATAAGCCAAGCACCCAAAAGCCGACAACGTTCAAACCAACTGTAGCTACAATTACAACAAATAAGCCAAGTTCTCAAAAGCCAACAACGCTGAAGCCAAGTGAGCCAAGTAAAACAGCAAAAACGCCAAGCACCCAAAAGCCTTCAACGAAACAGCCAACTGATTCAAGTTCTACAACAATTAAGTCAAGTACTCCGAAGTTAACCACCTTGAAGCCGACTCAAAGAAGTACTCAAAAGCCAACAACGCTGAAGCCAAGTGAGCCAAGTAAAACAACAAAAAAGCCAAGCACCCAAAAGCCTTCAACGAAACAGCCAACTGATTCAAGTTCTACTACAATAAAGTCAAGTACTCCAAAGTCAACCACCTTGAAGACGACCCAAAGAAGTTCTCAAAAGCCAACAACGCTGAAGCCAAGTCAACCAAGTAAAACAACAAAAACGCCAAGCACGCAAATGCCTTCAACGAAACAGCCAACTGATTCAAGTTCTACAACAATTAAGTCAAGTACTCCGAACTCAACTAAGTTGCAGCCGACTCAAACAACAATTTTTCTAAGCACCCAAAAATCGACTACAATTAAGCCAACTGTAGCAAGCACTACCTCAATTAAGCCAAGTACTCAAAAGGCGACAACGCTGAGCCCAACTGAAGCAAGTACAATGACAATTCAGCCAAGTACTCCGAAGCCAACTCAAACAAATAGAACAACAAATAAGCCAAGCACCCAAAAGCCGACAACGTTCAAACCAACTGTAGCTAGAATTACATCAAATAAACCAAGTTCTCAAAAGACAACTACGCTGAAGCCAAGTGAGCCAAGTAAAAGAACAACAAACCTAAGCACCCAAAAGCTTTCAACGATTATGTCAACTGAACCTAGTACTTCAACAACTAAGCCAAGTTCTACGAAACATTCCACGCTGAAGCCAACTCAAGCAAGTAGAACAACAAATAAGCCAAGCACCCAAAAACCAAGTTCTCAAAAGCCGACCAGTACTAGCTCGATTGAGCCAAGTTCCCAGAAGCCAGCAACGCTGAAGCCAACTGTAGCAACCACAATTACAACTCAGATCATCACCAAGGAACCAAAGACTTTAGTTATACAAAGCACCACAAGCACTAGCACCCAACAGCCCACATGGCCGGCTAGTAAGAAACCAACAACAAAAACGTCGGAAAGTACTACCGAAACGTTACCACCTTTTAATATTTTTTAGGTGGGACTTCGCGAAAATCGATCGATCATTTTGACCGAAAACTATAAAACTATATTTGAGTTATACTAATATACAAGTACTCTTAGATTATTTTAAAATAGCTTTTTTTCTTATTAATATTGTTAAAATGGTTGAAATTTTGAATTAATATATGTCTACATGTTAATGATTTGTATAGTATTTTCTGTTTGAATAAAAAGACGTACAATATACGCACGCAGACCGAAAACCCATCTTAGCTAAATTAAAAGTAATAAAATGGAAAGAGAACACTTAAAAAGGATACTTAAAGTAGGGTATTTCCCGCTTGAAGGTACTCTATAACAATGAATTTAATTAACCATAAAATGTGCACAGATTTTTATACACTGAAGTCATTGAAAATGGGTAGAAGGGGTAGAATGGTTTTGTGCAAATGTATGAAATAGGCAGAAGGAAGCATATTCGACCACCTAAATTATATATTCTTGATCAGCATCAATAGTCGAGTCGATCTAGCCGTCAGTCTGTCGGTCCATCTGCTTGGCCGTCAATCTGTCTGAATGTATGATTGCGTCAATCTCACAATCTTTCAGAGCTGCAGACTTGCAATTTGAACGTAGGCCCTCCTAGTGGCCGAGCAGTACAAGTTCGTTATATTTGAAGATCATTAGCCCCGAATCTAAGCAATCGAATAAAATCGAAATCCTGTATTTTCTGTAAGTCTTTACTTCGACAACTAAGCAAAATACTCCGAAGAACAACATCAATTAATCCAAGCTCTCAAAAACCATTAACGCAGAGAAAAACTTAACCAAGTCAAACAACAAATTAGCCGAGCATCTAGGAATACCCTAAACCCTTCTTCCCTCTTTCACCAACACCAAATTCAGCTCAAGCTACGTGCTCGTTTCAGCAGTAATAAATATAAATTTAAAATAAAACTAGCATACATATATTAAAAACCAGGAAGAGGTTCTAGTCGGGAGCTCCCGACTAGGCATTACCCTGAACCCTCTTATTCCAACGCCTAAATGCAGTTCGTGCAACGCGGTCGTTTGAAGTAATAAAGATAAATTAAAAAAAAAAAGTTCCCTTGGCAGGGATCGAACATGCAACTAACAGTATTACTTGCTGACGACTCTACTCAACAGACAAACCAGCAAAAAATAAAATAAAAATAGTTTCCCAGGTAGGGCTCGAATTCGCGACAGACCGCAACACTTGCTATGCCTCTTCTTAACAGCCACACCAATAATTAAGTATTACCGAGAAAAAAACCAACTAAAATGCTGTTAGATTGCGCTAGAATGCGAAGCAGACGCGCACGAATTTGTTTGTGTACATGTATGCTCAAATTCTTGAAGTTATCGCTAGCTGTGCCATTCAACCGATTTTCTTAACCGATCTTAGTCAAATTTTCTACAGTATATCTTATTGTACCATAGAATATTTCTGTATTCTCAAAAAGTCGATTGCATTAAAATTGTCGCTTAGATTGGTTGGCAATATAAGTTGCATTATTAACTTGATTTAAAGCTCTGCGGTGTTAGCGGGGAGGTGGCGATAGGTATAAAATGAAAGATACTTGAAATATATATATAATATTCTAGAAGCAACATATCAAATTTCGTGACTCTAGCTCTTAACATTTACCAAAATTGCTAAAAAAAACAGGATGTCGATATCAATTTTTATTGATTGCTTGGAAACGGAGTAAGTTATAGATTATCGGAAACAAACTTGATCTGCGCAGGCACTAGAAGCACCTACATCTAAAATTTCAAGTCTCTAGCTCTTATAGGTTCTGAGATCCTTGTGTTTATACATACGGACAGGCGAACGGACAGACAGACATGGGTAGATCGGCTCGGCTATTGATGCTGATCAAGAACATATATATTTTATGGGATCGGAATGCTTCCTTCTGTCTGTTACATACATTTGCATTTTTCACAAATACAATATACGCTTTTTACCCATTTTCAATGGGTTCAGGATATAAAAATGGGCGTAACTAACCGGAAAGGCAAAAAAAAAAAAACACCTCCATCGTGATGATGCTATAAGAAAATTATGTATTCTAATTAGGCTTTTAACATTTCATTTTAATAATTTGATGTAATAAATAATTAAGGAGACACTCGTTTTTGTCGACCATTAAAATAAATAAATAAAATAAATAAATATAAGTACTGTGAAGAGGCGCTTCTCAGGGCTCTGGTCTTGGAAGCGTTGGCGCTTCCGCAGTGCATGAACTCCGCGGCAGACGCGACATCTATAGGGCCGCATTCCTCGGGGCAATTGGTGCGGCTGGTTTGTGTTGCTTGGGCGAGGTACAGGGTTGATGAAGTAAGAAAAAAACTGTTTAGAAATATGTAGTTAAGGACACCAAGTACGTAATATGTGTTATTATTGACATCGGAGTCAATCGGCAGACGGATGAGCTTAGCAACGAGCCTCTTGATGACCCCGAGGGCAGTTAGAACATCTACCACGCGGACTATGACATCATTGCCTGAATACTTTGCTTGTATTCGGCCGAGCCACAAAACATTGGAGCTTCTTTGATGATAACTATGCCAACATTTTGAAAATCGGTCCCGGATATTGAATTCTGGAGGCAACTTTACCAAGTTGCATTTCGCAGGACGTAGCTCTTATTCTCTTTTGTGGACTGACTATATAAGGGCTGGCCATTGAGATTGTGGCAATTGTGGCCCCTTTGGTCGTTGCCACCACAGATCATTGGTCACTAATTCGCGTAAGAGGACACCTCTGCTATCCAGATCAGTGGGGTTGCATTCGGAGCGAACGTGAGACCATTTGCTACAGTTGGTGCATTGAGTAATCTTTACGACTGTGTATTAGCCGAGAAGTTCGTATATTTGGAAGTTCGTCGATGGAGGCTAACTTCTTTAATCTACAAGAAATCGGCTCATATTAGGTGCTCTCTAGGAAGATTAATGAACACAGCCTTGTCGTTGGAGGTCCCTTTGAGTAATGGAAATACGCCAGTGCCCAGAACCCAGTGCCCAGAGCACTGATTAGCTCGCCCTCATTATCCCGGTAGAGGATTCTTTGAAATGGTGTGTGGTTTTGTTGGTGGTAATATTGGTGCTGAGAACACAGCGGGAAAAACGCCATTTAAAAATCTGGATGGTTAGATTGGATTAAAGTACTGATCCTTTTTGTATTTCATCGTTCAAACTTTTGCCATTTTAGGAAGGGCTCTAGGCGTTAAACACAGCACGAACCTTTGTGGTGGTATCTGGCTTAAAGATTGAGGGAGATAAAAGTTATTGGAATCGTTGCTAGGGGGTACTTGTTTCATCCAAGCCCAGGTAGGCCTTAATCACTGACTCGTACTGCACTTATGGGGGAGGGTTTTTTTTTAATCAACTTTCGTTTCTCAGAAACTGAGTGTGTTCGATCTAGCTCGAAGTTCTCAAGTTATTGTGATTATGATTATTGAAGCGTAACGTAACTATATATCAGCCTGTCGCGACCTCCTTTGGTGGTGCTAGTAAAATTATTTCCATAACCTCTAGAGGTTGGCTGAGATGGCTTGGCTAAATTAAACCGAGCAATCCTGTTCAGCCTAGATGGAACATTAGACCATTAACTCTTATCATGGCTTCATAAAAGTTTTTGGAAAGCTTTCGAAAGGGGTTTGAACACACCTCTGCGCACTTGTGCTAGCCTTCATGCCCTCTAGAGAGTAAGATAGCGTTCTAATATGAAAGAATTAAGATCATTCCATATCGGAATGTCAGCCTTATTGTGCAACGCCTGTTCTCACAGTGAAAGCGTAAGCTTGGGTACCTTAGAGGCACACAAGTTAACTGGAAGGCAATCCCAGTTCACAGTACTTATACGGGAGTGTTCTAGAAGTTCTTGCATAGCACTCTATATATTTTTAATAGCGGCTTCATAGATTTAAAACAGTTTTTCCTGACTGACTGATTGGTGATCAGCGCACAGCCCAACCGTAAGAGCTAGGAAGCTGAAATTTTCACTGTATTTAGCTTATGTGATGAAGGTGCACGTTAAGACGGGGTTTCGGGAAATTTTACCCGCATGTATGGAAAAATCGCGAAAAACGTTTGTATGAAACTTTTAAGCGTACCATCCGATCGGCCTTAAACTCAATTTCAACAAGTAAGAGGTTCTTGTCGGGAGCTCCCGACTAGGGAATACCCTGAGCCCTGTTCTTTCAACATCAAATGCATATATATATTCTATTTTAGAAGCTATATGTCATGTTTGGTGACTCTAGCTCTTGTTATTTACCAAAATTGCCCAAAAAACAGGATATCGATATCGA